AATAATTGATAACAAAAAAAAAGGAAAAGGAAAAATGGGGAAGAAGGATCAAAAGCTGTTTTTAGCTTGTAAAAGGTTATCTGTTTGCCTTGAGGAGGTGGAAAATTATTGTAGTCAATTAAATTATTTTATTGGTCCAATTGCTTTTTTTTTTTTTATAAGGACAATGGTTAATAGGTTAGTATTGTCAAATGTTAGCAACTGGGGATTCGATCTCCAAATCTGATGAACAGTCCACTAACCTCAACGAGACGTGCGGCCATCAGGTCGCTTGGTGGAGTTTGTCCAATTGCTTAATTTAATTGGTCAAAATAAAGCAATTTCCCTTCCCTTTCTCTCTCCTCAAGCCTAAGAGACTATTAGAGATAGGGTATTAAAACAAATTTTGAGTATTTTTTAAAATAATTGTTGTTTTTTTCAGCATTTTTTCTAAATTAAAATTTTAAATACAATATATACATTTATTTACATTATTTAAAAAAAAAAGAAAAAAAAGTAATAAAGAGATTTTTTGTGATATGCTAATAATTAAAATAAAGAGATAATAATAGGATTATGGTAGGAGAAAATATTTGTTTATTTTAAAAAATAATAATTAAAACAAATTTAAAGTAAAAAAATAACTATTACTTTAGGATAGATGAAATATTAAAACTAAACAAACATTGAGCATTAACAGATCTCTTGTCGCTACATGCTCACATTACAGTGAAGATACAGAGATGCACCATGAAATTATGGAAGCCTTGAGTAACAAAATATCCCTATGAAGCATTAACTTCCATATGTCATGGACAAGAGTTTGCTTAATTATGCATTTATAATTTATTGAATTCTTCATGCTACCAACAATATCAGAAATCAAAAGAAAGCCTCACACTAACAAATTAGAGAGCAGATGGAAATGTGAAGTTTGGGGTATTCGTTAGAGGCTTGCTAATTGTTGTATGTTAATGGGATATGTGTAGGACTGTGAGCCAAATGATGCATTTGCAAACACATTGTTTGCCTCTTCAGTTGGATGGAAGGCATCCCAGAACAAGTATTTCCCTCGGTCCTCGCAAGGTTGTTGAAGGGGAAGACAAGTTATCTGCCCGTTGTTCCTTCCTACCCCACAACATCCCTTGTCTATCACTTCAAAACCTGTAAATTGTCAACTATTAGAAGTGTCTCCACTCAAAAGAAACATAATAAAAATGGGTATTTGTTACCATAAGATGCTGCTTTGAGATACAGATCGTTGCTGCTTTTGTAGGAATCCAGGTACACAAACTTAGCTCCTTGCAGTACCCCAGAGTTGAATGAGTCCACCATCTTCCTCAGTCCCGAGTTGAAAAGAACAATTGCCCTGTTGATTTTCTCATTGCAGCGGCTGCTATTGCCATGGTATCGAGCAAGCTGATATGGGATGCAACCGATTGGCCCCACTGCTGTCACGATCACCTTTCGAGCTCCCAAGCCATATAATTGCTGAATCATGAATAGATAATGATTAGGCTACATTTTGGAGTAAAGAGAAACATAATTCTCAAAGCACAAATAGCTTGTAATTTCATAGTACTTACAGTAAGCTGGCGGGCGTAGTCCTGGACAAGTACAGCAGCATAGGCCTTAGTATCGTAATCTGAGCTTGTTGTGTAGAAGTTGGGCATGAAGTAGTTATTGAGATAATCATTGCTTCCCATACCGGAATAGAAGATGCATTTGCTGAGATAGCTGCTGAGTGCATTGTTATCTCCTCTGAACAACCTTCTCATTTCCTGCACTGTATTGGCAAAGTTGACTAGCTGATTGTTCATTGATGTGTGAGTACCCTATGGAAACAGAAATTTACAAGA